CAATTGGCTTTCCATACTCCTTTCCCAATGATGCCACTCCAGAGTTCCAGGTCACATCTAGCTGTGGCATTGTAGACACCAAGGAGAATGATCTTGCCTTCCTTGCAAGTGTTTAGTTAGTATGTGATCAAGGTTGGATACTTCTTTGACATCATCAGCATCAAGTGTTGAGGCAAAGACAGAGGCGGTGGTGTACTGTTTATTGCTGATCTTAAGATGCAGGGTCATAAGATGTTCATTAAAGCCTACAGGGAGCTCACTGACCTGCTGATTCTTGATGGTGGAACCAACACCACGAATGCATCTGTCTTGGGCTGGTTTCCCCTTCTGGAAGAAGGTGTAGCCTCTACCCTCAGCTAACCCTCATCCAGTTGTCTCATCTCACTCAGAGCTGCCCTTTTCCAGTTGTCCAGGACTTCTCCTGATTGCCATGAGTTTTCAAAGATAATGGCTAGTGGCTCTGCAGTCACATTGGCCAACTCCCTCAGCACCCTCAGTTGCATTGCACCTGGTCCCAGGTATATGTCCAGCTTTTTTAAATAGTCTCTAACCTGTTCTTTCACCACTGAGGCTTGCTCATCTTGTCTCCAATCTGTGCTGCCAGGTGCAGTAGTCTGGGAGGTGACCTTGCCTGTGAAGACGGAGGTAAAAAAGGCATTGAATAGTACAGGGGTTGTTAGCTGGGGGGGTATGTGTACCCCTGGGGTACAGTAGACCCCTGATTTACATGATTCTGACTTATGCGTGTCTCGCGGTTACACAATTTTTTTATTAGGGTCTGGACTGGAAAATTCCCTTTGAGATGCGCGTCATTTGCGTATACACACGAATACTCGCAAGATTCTCATATATACGTGAACGCCTCACAAAATATGCTGGCGGAATCAAGTGGAGCTGTGCCGCCATTGTGGTAGCGGCATCTCAGAGTGCGTAGGTGAGGTGCTAGACACGCCTCCTAAAGGCAATTCCGCCGAGAAAAAGAGGGAAAAAAACTATGACTAAGGTACGTCTGGGGTATGCAACCCCTCGCTATTCTATTATTTTCTATGGGGAAAGTCGTCCTGACTTATGCAAATTTGACTTACATGAAATTCTCCTAGAACGCAATACACGCATAAATCGGGGGTCTGCTGTACTTGGGAAGGCCCCAGGGGGTACGTGGAAATGGCACGGAAAAGCAGGGGTACTTGGGAAGCACTACCACTGCTTCCAGTGGCACCCAGGCCATGGTGACAGCAATGACAGTGTGCAGGTGACAGTGGTGGCAGCATGGCGGTGCTTTCCCACTGTTGCGCACCTACTTCACGTTCGGCTGCCAGGGGATGCTGCTCAGCTACTGGCCACCGGGCCCCACCCCCTCTCCACGTCTGAAAGGGGGTACCCACCAGGAGGAGTACCCACCAGAAGGGGTACTCTCCTTAAAAAACATTGAAAATCCATGGAATAATACTTCAGCCTTTTCCTCCTCCTCTGTCATTAGGTTGCCTCCCCATTCAATAAGGGACCCACACTTTCCCTGACCTCCCCTTTGTTGCTAGCATACTTGTGTTAACCCTTCTTGTTACCCCTTCACATCCCTTGCTAGCCGCAACTCCAATTGAGCTTTGGCCTTCCTGACTTCATCCCTGCATGCCCGAGAAGTATTCTTATACTACTCCTTAGTCATCTGCCCCAGCTTCTACATGTAAGCTTCCTTTTTGTGTTTAAGCTCACTGAGGGTTCTCTGCTAAGCCAACCTGGTTGCCTGCTATATTTGCTATTCTTCCTGCACATCAGGATAGCTTGGTCCTGTGCCCTCAGTAAGGTTTCTTTAAGATACAACCAGCTCATTACCAGTAATGTGGTAAAGAGGGACACATCACTTTGCATATCACAGTGATTCTCTACCAGGGTGTTTCATCACCCTAGGGTGCTGTGAGATACTTTTAGAGGTGGTGTGGGTTGCCCTGTAATACTAGTACCTTGAGATGTGTCAACAGATGCACACAATTCACAAGTTAAACCCAGAGATTTCAAGTAGACATTCATATTATCAAAAACTTTCTGGCCTCTTGTGGTCTTTCTGAGCTCTTTTTAACAGAAGAATTGCTCTATTTTTTTTCTTACTCAAGAGTGAAAGCAAAGAACTGGCATTTTCTGTGGATGCCTTCAGTCTAATGAGGGGTGTCTTTAGCCTAATGAGATTGGCATAGGTCAGTGGTTCTCATTAGACTTTGCTTTTGACTCCTCCTCTAACAAACTTGAATGCTTGCCTCTACTGCTGCTTAGCATTTTTCAAAGTAACCCTGGAAGTGAGAATTTCCTGATTCTTGTTTCCACTGTTGCCCTCAGATATGAATAATAGCAATGAAACCTGAAAGGTGTATTTTTGATATCTCTTGGAAAGGCTGTATGCAGCAAAGGCACTGGATCCATCTGGCTGCAGATGAAGACAGAACAATATGAATTATGTGCATTTATAAAGACTGAAAAACCTCTTTAAGATTAAATTCTGCAAAAGTTGATGCTGTTCGCCCAGGAAAAATTCTTATTTGCTTCAAACAACTGGATTTTTTTCCAAGCATCATTTATAACCCACCACTCTGAGATAGCAAAGTGTAGCTCAGAATTAAAGGAAACTAGAATCCTACTAATTAACAAAACATATTAGATTATCTTGAACTTCTCCCTGCCATTACAGGATTATTCTTTGTTGTATGAATTCCTGTATTTGGATCCATGTGAACTTTCCCCTGTGTGGAGCTTCACTGAAGTCAGTTTAAACATGGAGATTTGCCCATGCAAAGATGATGGCAGAACCAGGGTCCAGACTGAGAGCCTTGATTAAATGATGATGATGATTTGGTCATCTTTGTTATTGAACTTTTCATTAATGATTTGAAATGACTATTGAGCACATGATTCATAAACAAAAATAGACCATTACAAATAGCAGTTTATGCCAGGTAGTCACTAGAGACCAAGATTATATATTATATATATATTACCAAGATAAAACTTGCTGTAGTCCACTGAGAGTAACCAATGCTAATGACTGTTTTTATGCTGTGCTAGAAAACTTTGTTGACATTTTTGCTGCGCTTAAAAATGTATATATTTTTGCAAAATAGATTAACTGCATGTTCAGTATGTGTTTGAACTCTTACACCATGGTATGAAAACAAGAACATTTTTTGCTAAGGTAATGTGTTTTCATGATATGAAATAGTGGACACTGGTATTTTAAATACCCTGAATAATCCCTTATTTAGGTGGATGCTGTCAAGTCCAATGTTATCCTAGAATTTAGGCTTTATTAAAATTTGTATTCCAAAATTAAGACCTGTAGATGTGTTTCTATGAACTTACAAGAAAAGCTTGGTTAAAAAAAGTTTTAATCCATTCTTGATTGACTTTTAAGTACTAGTAATTTAAATTGTGGTTAATATGAAATAGTTTTTAAGTGTCAAAAATAAAACACAATGAGGTTTTAATTTTTATTTGCTTTTATAATTGTATTAGTCACACAAGCAAGGAAATCTATGGTTTATATAAATGTGTAATCTTCACAATCTCCTCATAAGCCCTTGCTGCTCTTTTCCATCTGCAAGTAAACTATATTAAGCTAGTAACAGTACATAGCTTATTTCCTTTTCTTGTTTCTCTGTTCTGTCTCTGCCAATTTGCTTCCTGTCAAAAGTAAGAGTGATTGGGCGATCTTGTGATTTATACTGTATTAAAAAAAAACCCTAAAGAGGTTCTTTTCAGTTCAAAAAATGAAAGGGGCATTAGGGAAATTATTAATTGATTAATGTATCTGAAACTGGTGCTGCACTTATTAATGACTGCATATGAAATATTAAATTTCGTAAAACTACCTCAGCAGTTTTTCCAGCATAAGAATTTACCTTTTACCCCGTGTGAAATTAATTTAAAATAATATAACATTGGACTGATTTTTGTCAGTGTGATGAGATCTTATGTTCAGTTATTTTATAGGTGCCCTAGGGCAAACTTGTCCTGTTTCAAATAAATACACATACCGATTACAAGCTTTCTTTTTAAGAGAGAAGATGTTTATGTTCCTGAACCTCTTAAGAGTTCAGGGATTACCTTTTATCTCCTCTGCAAAAATCTCACAATATGGGGCTTGTTCAGTCTCTAACTCCTGATATTACCTAAGGCAACCTACAGCTCCTGGATAATGGAGTACCATTTGGTGGCAGGGGACTTTGGCAGCAGTTGTTTTCCCGTACTGCCCTGTGGCAAAATTGCTGGCTGCAGCTGGGTCCTAGTTCCCACCGGTCTCTGTTCTAAACTGGGTCAGTCTGTCCTGCATCCTTAAAAGTTTGCTGACCACCGACCTAAGGGTGACAAACTGCCCAAACTGCAGTCCTGCTTTTCTTCAGGTTCACAGTTGCTCATGCTACCTCCACAACATATCCAGATCATGCTAACCCAGAAACAGGGGTCCTTCTTGATAGCTTGTGTTACCACTAAGCCATCATCTCGGTTCAGATGAGTTCAGTATTAACATTATCATCTCTCACCAATATTCTTAGTCCTTTTGACTCTGTGCTGACTACATTTATAGTAACATACACAGCAGATAATAAATTGCATGGATACCAGTCTGGAATTGTCCTTAAAATATTAATTGCAAAAAATTACTGTGATCTGAGGCATTTAAATGGTGGCATATAGGAAAAATGTAGTAAATCAAGGCATCTGTTCTTTCCAATGTGTTTGCAGGAGTAGAACTCAAAAACATACCAAGGGAGACGAGAGACCTTTGAGCGATTCTTCTTTTTTTTCTGATTAAAATTTATGCTTAGAAAGTTTAATGTGTCAGGCCTTATTGGTTTTCTGGAGAGAGGGAACATCTAAATTTTGCTATGTTAGGTTTTAGTCTCTTGAATTTTTATAAGTTTTAAAATATAAAATACTGTTGCTACCATTACATCATAGGTAGGTAACCTTTGTAAAGTATCCAACAACTAAAACAACTTTCTTTGTTCTAGATCAATGAACTGAGCCATGTTCAAATCCCTGTTATGTTGATGCCAGATGATTTCAAAGCATATTCGAAGATAAAGGTGGACAATCACCTTTTCAACAAGTAAGTGCAAGTAACAGCTTTTGCTACAGATGGATAAAACTTCTGACAGCAATCAGCAATAACTTTACAAAGTTTTATAAATTCATTTTCCGCCAC